AATGAGAAGTTTGAAGGTAAGTCACCAGCACTCAGGGATTCAATACACAAATAAGATTCTATCTACTGCAAATCACGTCACATGGGTCAACAAGCCAATGTTTTCGGGGCCACAGGTCCCGCAGGTCCCCCGGTGCAGCTTCCTCTATTAATACCAGCGAGCGGCCCGGTGGTGGTATCACAGAATGTCTCCCTGTGAGAGCAGCATGTCTCATTCATCTATTACATCATAGACTTCAGGGGCCCGATCCCATTCATTAGTATAACCAGGGATGGGCCCCAGACAGAACCTGACTCCTCCGTTCCTGCAGGCGGGGGATTCCCCAAAATGAATGGCCAGCACCAGAAGAAGCTTCCTTCTATTGGTCAGTAGTGAATTGTGGAGGGGGACAGAGCATCCTTCTCCATTGTCATTGGCCTAGGAGGAGGGGGGGTGTCTATTGTTACATGTGCTGGCCCAGCTCCTTAACCCCACCCTCCATAACCTTTTATGTAGCAGCCAGGGGAGGAGTGAAAAGGAAAGCTATAGAATGTCACATGATTGACAGCTCTTAGTCAGCTGACATGAGGGGACACTGATGCGTCACAACCATTGGTACTCTTTTCAGGTGACAATTAATGACGTCACTGGTAACCCCGCCCCCTTGTCCCTCCCCATCCTCAGTTCCCCCACAGAAGTTTCAGCTTCGCACTGTCACCACAACATGAAGGCAGGGCCGGCCTTTGGGGTGTTCGAGCTGTGCAGCCGCACAGGGCGCCATGACAACAAGGGCGCCAGGCAGCCGACACAGCTCGTCCTTGGGGCGGCATCTCTCCTCCTCACCGCTCGGCCATCTACCATGAAAGCGCTCCCTCCCCCCTTCAGCGCTGTCCTCGGATCCCCGCGGGAGGGGGGGCGCAGGAGGGACCGATGTCTGCTGTCATTATGGCCGAGTGGTAAGGAGAGATGCCGCAGCTTTCAGGACGGCCGAGCGGGGAGGAGAGCGGCGCCGCTGTCATCCTGTCAGTTTCAGGATGACCCCTATTTAGACCCCTAATATTTCCCCGAAGCCCCCCAACAGTAAAAAAAAAATGAAAATAATTTTTAAAAAAAAAGTAAAAAGTGATTTAAAAAAAAG